TATATACATTGAAATGAAGTAAGAAAAATGAGACAAAGATAGTGAAATTGAGGGGGGTGGTGGTAAGGGCAACAGAAGGGGGAAGGGGGTGACTAGGGATGGATCCTTGCCTTGTTTTAGGGTGGTCTTGTGTGTCAAAGAACCAGTAGTGAGCAATCAGGGATGCCTAAAATTTTACCTGCACAGTGGCTTAGTGGTTAGCACTCCTGCCTTAAGCACTGGGTGGAATCCCAACCAGGACACTACCAGCACTTTATTTTGTATGTTCTCCCTGTGATTGTGTGGTTTCCTCTAGGTATTCCTGCTTCTTTTACACTCCAAAGACGTGCTGGTAGTATAATTGGCCCTATCTAAATTGGCATGTGAGGTAGGGATCTTAGATTGTAAGTGCCTTCAGCACAGGGACTGATGTGAATATACAATATGTAAAAGCGTTGCAAAAATTGTTGGTGCTATTTAAACACCAGTAATAAATAAATAAAAATAAATCACATAAGTAGGAAATGACATTTCTGGGAGCATTCCATATACTGTGTACAGAACACCTCCAGCATGCCATACTGAGTTTAAATTTTTTAAGAAGATGACAGCAGCTTGAAATAAATCAGTATTTTTTTTTAAAAGCAATAAATTGCAAAATAGCTCGTATAGCAATTTTATTTTCTATATATTTTTTTTAATGAATTTGGAGCTTTTCTTAAACTTTAATCAGTCCTAATATACTTCTTTAAACGCATCTCACAATAGCTAAAGTTTTCTATCTTTGTATTTTGTTTTTTTTCCTTTTACAGTTCATAGTTGATTTTTTTCATTTTTCTTTTTGTGGTGATGATTAAAAAAAAATATACAACATTTTTACATGCTTTTATTTTATTTATAAATAGCATAATTATAATTGATTTCTTCCTAGACTTATCCCAATAGCTATCACTTTCTATCTGTATTTCTTTTCTTTTCTTCCATTCATATTAAAACTTTTTGTTTTAATATCATATTTCTTTTTGTAGTGATAATTAAAAAAAGGTACAAAACATTTTTAAGGGCTCTATTTAATTTTATAAATAACATCACCCCAATTAATTTATTTCTAGGCTTCTCTCAATAGCTAACATTTTCTCTTCTTTTTTCCGTTTTCTACAGTTCATACTTATTTTTAGTATTTTTATGTTCCTATTTGCAGTGATGTTGAAAAAAAAATACCTTTTTAAAAGCTTTTATCTCATTAGTAAAGAATGTCACCATACTCTCTAGCAGAAACATAATTTTAGTGTCATCATAAATAGAACTAATCGTAAAATTGTTTATCTAAAGTATCATTATTTGTTTTTCTACAAACACTGGTCAATTTATAAAAAAAAAAACATTTTTTAATGTTTTTATATATTTGTTGGTCTATAGATTTTTTAGAAAACTGATTTAAAGGTGGATAAAAAATTCTGTACCACAGTTGCATGCAAAGAACAAAAATTAGAGAATTATATAGCTTGTATGTTTAAGACCTGGTTCACACCAATGCCTTTTTTAGTGCTTTTTTTGCAGACATGCACTACAGTCCATTTAACATGGTTTCCTATGGGACACGTACAGTGCCTTGAAAAGGTATTCATAACCCTTGAAATTTTCCACATTTTGTCATTTTACAAAAAAAAAAAATATAAATATATTTTATTGGGATGTTATGTGATAGACCAACACAATGTGGCACATGATTGTGAAGTGGAAGGAAAATGATAAATGGTTTTCAAAATCTTTTACAAATAAATATCTGAAAAGTGTGGTGTGCATTTGTATTCAGCCCCCTTTACTCTGATACCCCTAACTAAAATCTAGTGGAACCAACTGCCTTTAGAAGTCACCTAATTAGTAAATAGAGTCCACCTGTGTGTCATTTAATCTCAGTATAAATACAGCTGTTCTGTGAAGCCCTCAGAGGTTTGTTAGAGAACTGACTGCCGGGCAAGGAGAGCATTCATCAGAGAAGCAGCCAAGAGGCCCATGGTAACCCTGGAGGAGCTGCAGAGATCCACAGCTCAGGTGGGAGAATCTGTCCACAGGACAACTATTAGTCGTCCACAAATCTGGCCTTTATGAAAAAATGGCAAGAAGAAAGTCATTGTTGGAAGAAAGCCATAAGAAGTCCCATTTTCAGTTTGCGAGAAGCCATGTGGGGGACACAGCAAACATGTGGAAGAAGGGGCTCTGGTCAGATGTGAACAAAATTGGACTTTTTGGCCTAAAAGCAAAATGCTATGTGTGGCGGAAAACTAACACTGCACATCACCCTGAACACACCATCCCCACCGTGAAACCTGGTGGTGGCAGCATCATGTTGTGGGGATGCTTTTCTTCAGCAGGGACAGGGAAGCTGGTCAGAGTTGATGGGAAGATGGATGGAGCCAAAAACAGGGAAATCTTAGAAGAAAACCTGTTAGAGTCTGCAAAAGACTGGGGTGGAGGTTCACCTTCCAGCAGGACAACGACCCGAAACATCCAGCCAGAGCTACAATGGAAGGGTTTAGATCAAAGCATATTCATGTGCTAGAATGGCCCAGTCACAGTCCAGACCTAAATCCGATGGAGAATCTGTGGCAAGACTTGAAAATTGCTGTTCACAGACGCTCTCCATACAATCTGACAGAGCTTGAGCGATTCTGCAAAGAAGAATGGGCAGAAATGTCCCTCTCTAGATGTGCAAAGCTGGGAGAGACATCCCCAAAAGACTTGCAGCTGTAATTGCAGCGAAAGGGGGTCCTACAAAGTATTGACTCGGGGGGGCTGAATACAAATGCAGCCACACTTTTCACAGATTTATTTGTACAAAATGTTGAAAACCATTTATCATTTTCCTTCCACTTCACAATTATGAGCCACTTTGTGTTGGTCTATCACATAAAATCCCAATAAAATACATTTACATTTTTGGTTGTAACATGACAAAATGTGGAAGATTTCAGGGGGTATGAATACGTTTTTAAGGCTCTATAGACATCTATGCTTTTTTGAGCAGCTGCCTTTTTGGCAAGGGTCAGGGACTTTTCTTAACCTCTTCCTGTCCGGCCCATGTAGATAAACGGCCAGACGGGAGCGCTGCCGAAGCGGATTGACATCTATAAACGTGCAAGAATGCAGCCAGAGGGAAGGAGAAATTATTGATTTTACAACCTTCACTATGGTGACACTGTACTGCTTGGGTGACAGTATGTTAAAAAAACATAAATAATAATATTAAAAAAATTTAAAAAATATTTTCGAAAAATTATAATTTTTGGTTATAAACTAATTTCGGTTTTTTTTTTGTACTAAAAGATAGCAGGAATACATTTTGGCCAAGATTTATGAAGAAAGATTATTTATTTGCAAAATTGTATAAGAAAAACACTTTTTTTTTTCAAAAGTTTTGAACTTTTTCATTTATATTGCCAAAAAAATAAAAATCCCAGTGGTGAATAAATACCACCGAAATAAAGTTTTATGTGTCTTAAAAAAATGCTAAAAAAAGTCATATGAGTACAGTGTTGCATGACCGCGCAATTGTCATTCAAAGTGTGATAGCGCTGAAAGCTGAAAATTGGCCTGGGCAGGAAGGGGGTGAAAGTGTCCGGACTTGAAGTGGTTAAATGCAAAAGGCAGCATTTTTGCTACAATAGAGTTCAACGGAGATACTGCTGAAATGCATGTAGTACGTTTTTTCCACGTTTTTTGCGGCGTTTTGCATTTTTTTATTCTACCCAGCGATACAAACATTTCCCCTTTCACAAAAAAAAAACGCAAAATGTGGAAAAACGTGGCAAAAACGCGTGTGTAAAAATGCAAAGGGAAATGCAAAAAAGCATTGTGGAAACGGATCAAAAGCAAACTGCACTGGTGTGAACCAGGCCTTACAAAGGAAACAGTACCATACATTGTCTATAGCAGGGGCGGACTGACCATTTGGAAACTCAGGCACTGCCTGAGGGCCCGGGGTCAGTAGGGGGCCCCATGAGATGCCCCTGGTACCTTTTTCATAGGCTTTTTTGAGTTTGGGCAAGGACACAGGGGCCCCATGATCCCCTATTGCACGGGGGCCCCATGAGTTGTCAGTCCGCCCCTGGTCTATAGTTTACCTAGATTTAAAAAAATAGGAATGGAAACAGAAAAATAAGTATTTATTGTAACTGACACATATGAACATGTCAGGACTGTCTAGCAAATTATGGGAAACGCAACCTTGCAACTATGCAGGGCAAAGGGCTGAGACAGGTCTCTGGTAAGTGAGAGAAATAAAGGGAGAATTGTATTTCAAGCACAGCAGATGAGAAGGGTAAAAAACTGGGTGAATTCCTGGATTTTAGCGCTGACATGATTGTCTGTCCAGCAATCCATCTCACCGCTGCTGATTAGCATTGCCTTGCTTTGCATGGAAACTGATAAATGCCCGATGTGTGTCGGCACAGCTGTTTGTAGACAGGCAACAACACAGAAAACAAATTGGGAGACAGGGCCAGAGTGTTGTCACCCTATAACAGGAAGTGCCTGAGCAAGCAACATCAAGGCAGGATTACCATACATTACATTAATTAACTATCTCAATCAATATTAACCACTTAAGTCCGGACACTTTCACCCCCTTCCTGCCCAGGCCAATTTTCAGCTTTCAGCGCTATCACACTTTGAATGACAATTGCGCGGTCATGCAACACTATACACATATGACATTTTTAGCATTTTTTTCACACAAATAGAGCTTCCTTTTGGTGGTATTTAATCGCTGCTGGGTGTTTTATTTTTTGCGCTATAAACAAAAAAAGAGCAAAATATTTGGGAAAAAAAGGTTTTCTTTGTTTCTATTATAAAATTTTGCAAACAGGTAATTTTTCTCCTTCACTGATGTGCGTTGATGCGGCTGCACTGATAGGCGGCACTGATGGGCACTGATTGGCGGCACTGAGAGGTGGCACGGATAGGTAGCACTGATAGGCAGCACTGATTGGTGGCACTGATGAGCTGGCACTGATGATACTGCACTGATATGCAACAATGATAGGCACTGATAGGCGGCACTGCTGGGCACTGATGGGTGGCACTGATGGGCAGCACAGGTGGGTGGCACTGCTGGGCACAGGTGGGTAGCACTGCTGGGTACTTGTGGGTGGCACTGCTAGGTACAGGTGGGTGGCATTGGTGAGTGGCACTGCTGGGAACACATCATCAGGGCACTGATCTTCAGTGCCCTGATGATCGGTGCCGATCCATCCTCTGTCAATTGCCGGTTATCGGTAGTACTTTCCTCATGCTGTGACAGTGTGAGGAAAGTGCAGCTGATAACCAGCAACTGTATTTACTGGTGATCTACTGTGTCATTGGACACAACTGGTCATGTGGTAAAAGGCCACTGTGATTGGCCTTTTGCCACATCACGGAGATCGCCGGGTGCGCGCGGGAGGGCGCGTTCTGGGAGGACATCATATGATGTTCTCCCCCCCATTGGAGTTGCTCGGCAATCATCAGGTGCCGGCGAGTAATCACCTTCCGGGACTCGGTGAGCGACAGCCGAGGCCACGAATGGCGGCGCGGGCGTAGGCTTATGCACCCCCTATCCAGAACTTCAAAATCACGCATATATATATACAGTTGCAAGAAAAAGTATGTGAACCCCTTGGGATTCCGTGGAGTTTTGAATGAAATGGGCATAAAATGTGCTCTGAACGTCATCTAAGTCACAACAATAGAAGAACACAGTCTGCTGAACATAATACTACACAAACATTAGATGTTGCCATGGTTTAACTGCACATAACATGTAAACATTCACAGTGCAGGGAGGAAAAAGTATGTGAGGCCCTAGCTTAATGACTTCTCCCAGAGCTAATTGGAGCCAGGAGTGAGCCAACCTTGACTCCAATCAGTGTGATGATATTGGATGTGTTGTTGACAGCTGTCCTGCCCTTAAAAAACACCCACCTGTTTTGGGTTTACTGGTTTCAAGAAGCACTGTCTGATGTGAACCATGCCTCGCAGAAAAGAGCTCTCAGAAGACCTACGATCAAGAATTGTTGACTTGCATGAAGCTGGAAAGGGTTACAAAAGTATCTCCAAAAGCCTTGATGTTCATGTGTCCATGGTAAGACAGACTGTCTACAAATGGAGAAAGTTTAGCACTGTTGCTACTCTCCCTAGGCGTGGTCGTCCTGTAAAAATGACTGCAAGAGCACAGCGCAGAATGCTGCATGAGGTAAAGAAGAATCCCAGAGTGTCAGCTAAAGACCTACAGAAATCTCTGGCACATGCTAACATTTTTGTTGACACATCTACAATAAGGAAAACATTAAACAAGAATGGAGTACATGGGAGGATACCACAGAGGAAGCCATTGCTGTCCAAAAAGAATATTGCAGCACGTTTGAAGTTTGCAAAAGAGCACCTGGATGTTCCACAGCACTACTGGCAAAATATACTGTGGACAGATGAAACCAAGATTGAGTTGTTTGGGAAGAACACACAACATTATGTGTGGAGAAAAAAAGGCACAGCACACCAACATCAAAACCTCATCCCCACTGTAAAACATGGCGGAGGGAGCATCATGGTTTGGGGCTGCTTTGCTGCCTCAGGGCCTGGACGGATTGTTGTCATTGATGGGAAAATGAATTCCAGAGTTTATCAAGACATTTTGCAGGAAAACGTACGACCATCTGTCCGCCAACTGAAGCTCCGCAGAGGATGGGTGATGCAACAGGACAATGACCCAAAGCATACAAGTAATTCAACAAAACAATGGCTGCAACAGCACAGAATACACCTTCTGGAGTGGCCCAGTCAGAGTCCTGACCTCAACCCGATTGAAATGCTGTGGCATGATCTTAACAGAGCGATTCACACCAGACATCCCAAGAATATTGCTACACTGAAACAGTTTTGTGAAGAGGAGTGGTCCAAAATGACTCCAGATCGTTGTGCAGGTCTGATCTGCAACTACAGGAAACGTTTGGTTGAGGTTATTGCTGCCAAAGGAGGGTCAACCAGTTATTAAGTCCAAAGGTTCACATACTTTTTCCTCCCTGCACTGTGAATGTTTACATGTTATGTGCAATTAAACCATGGCAACATCTAATGTTTGTGTAGTATTATGTTCAGCAGACTGTGTTCTTCTATTGTTGTGACTTAGATGACGTTCAGAGCACATTTTATGCCCAATTCATGCAAAACTCCACGTAATCCCAAGGGGTTCACATACTTTTTCTTGCAACTGTATATACTGTATATATCTATATATATATATAGATATATATATGTGATTTTGCACAGCCCTGCTACAGGGTGGCGGGAAAGCGTTTGCTCATCCAAAAAAAGGTAATAAACCGTGTTCCCTAAGTAATCTTCATATGTGATCCACCCAGGGGCGGACTGACCATTTGAAAACTCGGGCACTACCCGAGGGCCTGGTGTCAGTAGGGGGCCCCATGAGATGCCCCTGGTACCTTTTTCATAGGCTTTTTGAGTTTGGGCAAGGACACAGGGGCCCCATGATCCCCTATTTCCCGGGGGCCCCATGAGTTGTCAGTCCGCCCCTGGATCCACCCCATGCTCACTCAACCTCATCACACATATGAGCTTACCAGAAATAATGTGACTCTCAAAGCATGAGAAATCAAAAAGTGCTGAGCATTTATACTGATTTGCAATGAGTGTATGGGTATATACAGACACTGCTCCTCCAACATAGAGATATTTCAAAGCAAGAAGGCAACAATTGGCATCCAGCAAACTACAATCAGGATAAAAAATTATTTTTGCATTTCTTCAATTGCTACCTGGTTTCTGGCCTGCGCCAAAATTATATCATACATCCCCGGAGTCTTTATAGGCATTTTTTTTTTTCTTTTTTCTGGGAGGAGGGGCTTTTTCAGATAAGCTCACCCTCCTGTCTGTATGCCTAAGCCAAGGGCAGATGGATTCCAGGAAGTAAATGCAATATTTATTATCTGCCCTTGCTCAACATGATCGCAGCTAGAAATGCTAGGGGGTGGTTTTCAAAGTTATTTTGGAATAAGAAAGAATGGAGACATGGATGAATGGGTGAGTTTGCTTTGAATATTAAACAGGAATTAAACATCATTTTCAATTTTTGGTGATCAGATACAGTTTAGTTCCACTTTAAAGATTTTATGACATTTTACCAGTTTGGCTTAGATCTACTTTATTTAACAAAATCACTAATAGAACACTATATTCTTCCAATGGATGTATAATATTGTCTGCAAAATCCCTTTTTTTTTTTTTTTTGCTGTTGTAGATATACTAAGTCTTTCTTTCCTTGAGGCTTGTCAGACTGGCAGGAAGCTCATTGAAATATCCTTTAGGCAGGAATCCGTGTCTTCTAAGCAGTAAGATTCAGGCAGCGATAAAAAGTGAGGTATCAATAAATAATCACAGTTCTTATACTTTTAAATGAGAATTCCGCACATTCTGCTCCATTGCTAAATTGAATGTTTCTGACATAGTCAGCGGTCCGCCTGTGTAGACCGCCGTATGCTAGCTTTTTTAAATGTGCCTGACCTAACCTGCACCTAATTTTACATAGAAATAGGACGCTGAGCTTCAGAATGCTAAAAAAGCATTAACTGTATATACATTGCTAGGCTTTGCTGGGGGATATGGAATATCTGCTTACACATTCTGCCTGGTAATGTCAGAAGACACACAATGAATAAGAGAGTACCAGAGAACCCCCCCATCAATAAAATATCATCAAGCCCGTTGTGATGCTTTCTATTGAAACTTTTTAGGGGCAGAGTAATTATTTTTTTTTTTAGTTTTTTTTCTCCATAGTATTCAAGAAAACAGCACAGGGGCTAAATGGTTAGCACTTCTACCTGACAGTACTAGGGGTCACTGGTTCGAATCCCAACCTCAGCACCACCTGCCTGGAGTTTGCATGTTCCCCCTGTGCTTGTGTGGGTTTCCTCGAGGTACTCCGGTTTCCTACAACACTCCAAAGACATGCTGGTAGGTTAATTGGCTCCTGTCTAAATTGCCCCTACTATATATGTATGTATGAATGTGAGTTAGGGACCTTAGATTGTACACCCCTTGAGGGTTAGGGACTGATGTGAATGTACAATATATATGTAAAGCGCTGCGTAAATTGACGGTGCTATATAAGTACCTGACATAAATAAATGAAATAAAACAAGATACCACTTACACCATTCCCCAGTGCTTAGTCTACTGTCCCCATCACAGTCAGACAATGAGGACATGAAGGAAGTTGCTTAAAGGGCATGTCCACTTAAAAGCAATACTTCAGTATTTAGTAGATGATCTAATGTTTTCTTCTATCTCTTGGGGACTCCACAAGTGATATGTCTATGTTGAGTTTCCAGGGTCTATTCACCTCACTATTATGAGAGGCTCCTACCATCCTTGCTGCATTTTGTATTTATGTTGGTGTAACAGGAGTAGCTGAGGCACCCGATGATGGGCAAGAACATTGTAAAATTCAAAATGGGCCCTGGGCAAGAACAGAGAAATCCTATGTGTGGAGTACCTAAGAGAAATAACGTACACCAGTCCCCATTCTACGGTGCTTAGTCTACTGTCGCCATCACAGTCAGACAGTGAGGATATGAAGGAAGCTGCTTAAAGGGCATGTCCACTCAGAAGCAATATTTCAGTATTTAGTAGATGATCTAATGTTTTCTTCTATCTCTTGGGGACTCCACAAGTGATATGTCTATGTTGAGTTTCCAGGGTCTATTCTCCTCACTATTATGAGGGGCTCTTACCATCCTTGCTGCATTTTGTATTTATGTTGGTGTAACAGGACCAGGGGCGGACTGACAATTCATGGGGCCCCCGGGTAATAGGGGATCATGGGGCCCCTGTGTTCTTGCCCAATTTAAAAAAGCCTATGAAAAAGGTACCAGGGGCATCTCATGGGGCTCATTACTGACCCCGGGCCCTCGGGCAGTGCCCAAGTTTCCAAATGGTCAGTCCACCCCTGAACAGGAGTAGCTGAGGCACCCAACGATGGGCAAGAACATTCTAAAATTCAAAATGGGCACTGGGCAAGAACAGGGAAATCCTATGTGTGGAGTACCCAAGAAAAATAACGTACACCAGTCCCCATTCCACGGTGCTTAGTCTACTGTCGTCATCATAGTCAGACAATGAGGACATGAAGGAAGCTGCTTAAAGGGCATGTCCACTCAGAAGCAATATTTCAGTATTTAGTAGATGATCTAATGTTTTCTTCTATCTCTTGGGGACTCCACAAGTGATATGTCTATGTTGAGTTTCCAGGTTCTATTCACCTTACTATTATGAGAGGCTCCTATCCGGGGGCAGACTGACCATTTGGAAACTCGGGCACTGCCCGAGGGCCCGGGGTCAGTAGGGGGCCCCTTAAGATGCCCCTGGTACCTTTTTCATAGGCTTTTTTGAGTTTGGGCAAGGACACAGGGGCCCCATGATCCCCTATTGCCCGGGGGCCCCATGAATTGTCAGTCCGCCCCTGCTCCTACCATCCTTGCTGCAGTTTGTATTTATGTTGGAGTAACATGAGTAGCTGAGGTACCCGATGATGGGCAAGAACGTTCTAAAATTCAAAATGGGCAGTGGGCAAGAACAGGGAAATCCTATGTGTGGAGTAGCCAAGAGAAATAAGAAACCAGTGGTTGACTAAGACCAACATATTCCGCATAAAACTGAAACACACATGTTTGGTGATTAAAATAATGAAATTTGTCACCACTTCAAAATCATATATTGCCCTTCAACCCCGGGTGCCTTAGGTGCTGGTCAAGGAGCTTGTCCTTGCTCTCAAACCATAAATATATATTACACCTAAAAGTGAGTACTAACTTCCCACTACCTTTAAAAAAATATCAAAAAACACAATGAATAAAAGTCCGCAAACAAATTTTAAATTTGGGACAGTCCTTTCAAATTCTTTATGCTGTGACCCAAACCAAGAAAGTGACATATCTTCACCATGTGCCGGCAAGGAATATAAAGATTGCTCACTCACCAGCAGGGGCGGACTGACAACTCATGGGACCCCCGGGCAATAGGGGATCATGGGGCCAAACTCAAAAAAGCCTATAAAAAAGGTACCAGGGGCATCTCATGGGGCCCCCTACTGACCCCGGGCCCCTCGGGCAGTGCCTGAGTTTCCAAATGGTCAATCCGCCCCTGCTCACCAGACCTTTTGACCCCAATGAGGGTGGTCAGATGCACTTTTTGGACATATAGGAGACTATCAGGAGATGTAACCCCTCCAGCAGCTCTCCCCATTTATGGCCATAAGCTAAGGAATAGGAACTCCCAACATGCCTCCTGTACTTCTATGGTGATTGATATGGACTATTCCTTATAAGGATTTGGTGCCAGACCACTCCGATAAACTAGACAGATAAATATCCTTCCAAGTGCAGTATTTATTACATGAACATTAAAACCATATACAAACGATTTTGCACTCACATGGAATGGTGCCTGTAAACCGGCACCAGTATTTGCATCCTGTGAATATCAAAGATGGCTGACATGCACTCCAGGCCTCGCTTTCGCTGGGGCTGAACACAGGGGCATATTTACCACAAGGCAAACAAGGCATTTGTCTAGGGTGGTATTTTTTAGGGGACAGCACTGCCCTCCAGAAGAAGGGACACGTGCATCATGGGGACCAGGTGGGATCAGAGAGAGGCTGCAGGCTGCTTGATGGTGGATGCAGAGGCCCGATTGTCGTTCCCGGGGATGTCCAGAGCTGTGAAGGTGAGTGCCTTTCTCTCTGTCACCGTCGGAGGGGGGGTATTAGTGGAAGGCTGTCTTGGTTGGGGGTGGGGATGGGGCAGGGGTGTTGATGGTCACTGTCAGGCTCTCTCCATGGGGGGGCGGGGTTTGGTGTTGGTTGGTGTCAGGCTTTCTCCGCCGGGGAGGGGGCATCCGATTTTTTGTGTTGCCTAGCGCAGCACAAAACCTAAATACACCACTGGCTGAACATTCCCGGTCCCGGAAGGGACATAGTGACGGTTAGCCTCATACGTCCATGCACATTTAATACCTTATATGTAGCGCCTGTCTATTTATGTCATACATTTGCACAAGCGTGGTCATCCACCGTCATACTACACATTTAATATATATTATTTTTTTTCACTTGGCGCCTTAAATAATAATTTTTCATTTGTCCCTAAGGGATCAAACGGCCATATAGTTTTCTTTGTAAAAACTTTATTGAACCAATCATGAATACACTGATGACCCTGCCTGAAGACCAGTCCTCTCTAAGAGGTAGGGAAGTCAGCTTGTTCTTGGTTGGTTCAGTGAAAGCATGCAAATGCCAAGCTTCCTTGGTCAGAATTATACCCAGGACTTTAGCACTGAATGGAAACAATGTTAATCACAATTAGTCACAAATGCAATACAAGTATGATGTCAATGATTGGCAGATAAGTTAGAATTTCTATTCGTTCTTAAGAAGGCCGTAGATGAGTCAAAAAAAAAAGTTCTGTCGGCCGAAAAATGAAAATAGCTTATATGATTGTGTCATCAATTGTTTCGATTTTCTAAAAAAAAAAGAACCAGTATGTTGGATTAGGAACTTTTGATGGTGGCATGAAAATCACGTGTCGCAGCTGGCACACTAATGATGCAAAAAACGAATGATTCGACGATTGACACGAATTTTGACCAGGTGTGGACTGACAACTCATGGGGCCCCCGGGCAATAGGGGATCAAGGGGCCCCTGTGTCCTTGCCCAAACTCAAAAAAGCCTATAAAAAAGGTTCCAGGGGCATCTCATGGGGCCCCCTACTGACCCCGGGCCCCTGGGCAGTGCCCGAGTTTCCAAATGGTCAATCCGCCCCTGTTTTCGACTCATCTATGGCCTGCTTTATTTTTAGACGAGGGGCATTCAAGTCAAACCGGGACTTTTAATTTTACAGTTATAAAAAGGGATGCTAGCGTGGCGGTACTACAGGCAGTAGTAAGTGGCAAGTGTGCCCTGTTACTGATAGGTGGCACACATGTCCAGAGACCGTTAATCAAGATGGCAGACAACAGTGTTAGAGTGTGGATGGAACAATGTGTGGTTGTTCTGTTAGTCGATCCTGCTCAGATGCTCACACACGGTAGTTAGTAGCAGACATTTTATTAGGTGCTCATAGCTGCCATTATACATGTGTCTGCTTACAGAACTACAACCAAAGAGACGCAATAACACAGTTGTACCAGTATCTAAGTAGTGAGACCCCTAGAGGCCATACACAGAATATAACATATTGCTACATCCTTTCTCTTTAAAATAAAAGAACAATGAAATATAACAAACACAAAATGGTGAAGTAGAACATAGCTATAAGTTAGATATAATCCTTGAGGTGAGCCGGCTTTCTGATTGTTCTGCCAGCTCGCGTAACATATGAGGTTTCTTCACAGAAATCTTGGTGTTCTTCTGATTCTGGCAGTCTATTTTCTGGGACTGTCTCTCTCTGCCTAGAGACCTCCCTATGCTCCTCAGCAGTCCCTGTTTCTTTGTTGCTGGTATTCATAGTCTCATCGCTTTGAGTGTCCATATACTGTTCCCAGGGCCCTGTATCATCTCCTTCTTGTGTTTTTCTCAGATGTCTCCGATTTCTCCTCCATCTTCTTCCTTCCTCTGTTATAATTTCATAGGACCGTGGTCCCAATTTCTGTACCACCTTCGCTACAGTGGTGATGAAGATTCTTGTGAACGAAGGTGTAAAACCCGCAAACATCTACAGAATATTTCAACCACAGTACGGTGATGAGACCCAAAACCGTCCTCTCCGCTCCTCGCACAACCTCCTGCTCTCTAGCTCCTTTGTCTCCTCCTCCCATGCTTGTCTCCAGGACTTCTCCAGAGCTTCCCCCATCCTCTGGAACTCTCTACCCCAATTTATCAGACTATCGCCTACTCTGCTCACTTTTAGGCGATCTCTGAAAACCTATCTCTTCAGGGAAGCCTATCCTGCCCTCAGCTAATAATGGAATCTTCTATTCCTCCTACCAGTCCATCCTCCACAGTTATTACCTTTTGTACCACCAGCCCCTCCCTCTTAGATTGTAAGCTCTAAGGAGCAGGGCCCTCCTACCCCTCTTGTATTGAACTGTATTTTTGCTGTATTGTCTCCCGTTATATTGTAAAGCGCTAAGCAAACTGTTGGCGCCATATAAATCTGTATATCAATAATAATAATAATGAGACCCACCCTACATTCCTCATACTAAAGCTCCCCCAACACTCCGCACCTTTGACCTTACTACCATGAGGAAGTCTCCAAGATCCTCTCTGATGCCCGCCTCACCACCTGCCCCCTCGACTCTATCCCCTCACAACTCCTACGACCTCCCTCCCCCTCCATTCTACGCTCCCTCACCCACATCTTCAATCTCTCACTCTCCTCAGGCACTTTCCCCTCCCCTCTGAAACATGCACACATCACCCCCATACTTAAAAAGCCCTCCCTGGACCCCAATGACCCGAACAACCTCAGACCCATCTCCCTGCTCCCATTTACATCTAAACTCCTCGAGCGCCTAGTCTACACCCGCCTATGCTCTCACCTCAACGACAACCACCTCCTCGATCCCCTGCAGTCTGGCTTCCTACACTCCACCAAAACCGCCTTACTCAAACTCTCCAACAACCTTCTAACCGCCAAGCTAATGGCCACTATTCAGTGCTCCTACTCCTTGACCTCTCTGCGGCCTTCGACACAGTCAACCACCCCCCTCCTCCTCAAAAAACTACACTCCCTCGGCCTCAGAGATTCTGCTCTCTCCTGGCTATCATCCTACCTGTCACAACGCTCTTTCAGCGTTACCTATAATGCTACCACCTCCCCCTCACTCCCCCTCTCTGTTGGGGTCCCTCAAGGCTCTGTCCTTGGGCCCCTTCTCTTCTCCATCTACACCTCCTCCCTTGGCCAACTTATACACTCTCATGGCTTCAACTACCACCTCTATGCCGACGACACACAAATCTATCTCTCAACC